ACTGAAGGGAAAAACAAGCTAGAGAGATGCAAGAAAAAAGAGGAGTCGATAAGAAAAGCAACACCTACAGGAAGACAACAATTACATACATCAGATTGTAGACTTCAAAAGCTTTAATGTGGATGGGAATAGGGTCTTGTCATCCTCCAATTTAATCATCATACACACCTCAATTAACCTAATGTTTTCATAGTATGTGCATCAATGCTAAGGTCAAATCATTCTGTACCCATCAGACAGACAAATATGAGTTAATGTGAACCGCTATAAAGCATTGACTTCCTCTCCTTAGCGAGCTCTTCTTCAAGACTTCACGTAGCTTACCCTGTCTTACTGCAGTAGCATCTTCTGGATGTCTAAAGCTGAACCCAACCCGACCCTATTTGCTGTTATCCCCATCTTTTACTTTCTTCTGCTCCTTACATCCTGCTCTATGTCATTTTTCCTCTCGATGAAGAGCCAGATACTGACACAGTAGTATCTTGATTAAAAGAAACTAGATTATCAGGCCAGTTCTGCATCCCTTTGCGAATCTCCAGTGAAAGAGAACTGACCTACTGTACGTATCCAGTCGTTTACATGGTTTGTACTCTCAAGAGCCCTGTAAACCAGAGAGATCTGTCAATCTTTTCTGCGGGAAGAAAGGAGTACAGGCTCTTGATAAAGCAATGTGGCAAAACCTCTTCAAAAAGTTCCTTGGAGTATTAGGGAGAAAATGTTTTCATTTGTAAGATTTGCCAGAGGACAAATGATATTTTTCCTATCTTGCTTTCACAATAGTATTACAAAAACTCTCCTTTCCACATGAAATGGACTGATGTTAAGCATACTATTCCTTTGCACAGCAACTGTCAAGTCTTGGAAACTAGATGCTGCCATGCTAGCACATCACTCTCTAGGAGGTTTAATACATGTAACTGAATCTGGTAAAGTCAAGCAATGAATTGTCAATTGCCATTTAAGTAAATAAGTAAAATATCACAGGCTTTACTTCATATGTTTTGCAACCAGACACCTCTAAACTTGTCTTCAATGTCTGACTCACATACTATTTCTTTTACTTTATCTTTTTTTTGGATAAGCCATGCTTGGTATATAGGAACCTTCATTAAAATTCTATGCTAGACATTCTGAAAAAATGGGAAGAAATTGTATTTCTCTATCTCAAGAAACTAGACTATATTCTAGGGGCACTTGACTTCCTCAGTCATCAGAATATTCCCTGCTGTCTCCTCTACAGTGAGTCCATAAAAGGGCTGGTCACAAGCAAATCAGCAAATTAAATCCTTTTGAAATTCACTTCTTCCATGACTCCTGCAGGCATTAAATACTAAAAAAGAAGTTACGGTCAAAATGGTACTATGTCTGTACCTACGCCTAGCATTTCCACAGACAGGAACTTAAGGAGGAAAGCACCTCAATCCTCCCTAGATCACCTTACATACATAAGTGAACATCGAGTACATTTTAACTAAAACCACAAATCACAACATTAAGTTTGGAGATCCACATATATACATATTAAAAAAAAAAAATAAATCTATAGAGCAGGATCTCTGCAGCTTTGTGAGGAATCTGCCCATAAGCCACAAGTGCAACCTAAACAATGATTTTTCTGCAGGACCACAGTTTGCACTTCATTTATTTCAATCCACTGCTAAAACTAACTCAACCACAGTGAAAACTAATGTCAAACTGACAGAATTACCAAGTGTCTAAACACTGGCTCTTTTCATCTAGTGAAAATTACATTGCTGCAATAGTTAACCGTTGCCTTAATGGTATTCCAGATAATTTATAAATGTATTTCCTCAAGTTAAGGTACATATAATAACCCATAGAAAACTTGCTTTTACGTACCTATTAAAAGAATGCTAACAAAATAAGCAACCAAGTCCAACTCTCCTTACAATTACAGCAAGCACTAACTGGCATGTTGACTCACAGAAAGAGCAACTCTTCTGATGACCAGTAGATCTAATATCTAGATATTAAGATTCTAGCAAAATCTATGCAAATATCTCATTTAGATATGCACAACAGGTATTTGCTCACCAAAAAAAAAAAAAAACCCAACAACGTGGAATACACATAGATGTGCAAGTTCAAATGTATACAATAATTTATTTTAATTTGCCCAACATTTCTCATCTCTCAATTCCAGAAGCCTTGTTGAAAGGAGTCAGGCCATGAATAGGGTGTTAGGAACTAGCCTGCACCTCAGCAATAACTTAACACATGAGAAGCAGTTCATGTAAAGAGGTCTGTTCACACACTATAAACACTGAACATTCTTCAAGGTTAAAAAAAAAAATTAAAACCTATGTTTATTTTGACAAGTGAAATAAATCTTGAATGAAAAAGCATTTGGCACTACATTATTTTTTTCAAATTTACTGCTGAGAGAAGTGTCTTAATCTTTTTTTTTGCATCCAAACAAAAATCACCATATAATTCTTCACATCTTGATCAGAGCAGGTGGACAGGCTGCTTACTGATTTGAGGCAGCATGAATGAATAAATGAAAATGTAAAGCTTCCTTTTGTAAGAACTCTTAGCATTGGTATTAGTGTAGGTGCAACTGGTTTGAACCACATAATACTACTACTATCTCAAAGGAAAAATGCTGCATATCCTATTACCACATGGAATTGCATTTCTCGCAGTGATTTATGGGGGAAGCAACTCCTTTCACATTGATTTTTTTCTTTTTTTTTCCAATCTATAGAGAGAATATGCTTTCTTTTTCTGTTAGCCAAATACTGTCTCATATTAATTGTGCTCATTTTTTTTTTTAATAAAGTTATAACACCTACTTGAAATTCTGGCTATAAATAGCACCACAGAGGCAAATATACGATGAAGCAACACCTGCCTTCACAGCTGCATGCAAATTGAAGGCCACTGGAAGTTTACCCCATGACGTTCAGCTGTATCATGGCAATAGCATTTAAAGATGGAAGAACAGATGAGGCGGAGAAGGAGGGAGGCTTTGTGAGGGGACATCTACCCATGGAAGGTCTAGACCTCTGTCTCATTTTATTGATATGCCCAACAAGAAAAAGTCCAAAAGGACAGGCATTTGGAAGGGCCATCTCCAGAGAAGCTCCGCAGTCTGCAGACACTACTCTACCAGACTCTCTGCATTCAAAAGGCAAATGAAATCCAGAGCAGCAAAACCAGCATGGCAGTACTGCACCTAGAGCTCTAGCTCTCAAGCGTGACAGCATCTGGATACATTATGACCTTTGATGTACTTATGCATACAGGTGTTTCCTTAAATAATTATTAAGTTCTAATCATAATAAATTCACAAACAGACAGCTGAGACCGGTTTTGCAATTACTTTAAATCAACCTCAGCACCAACTTGGCTGATTCCCAAAAAGGGATGACCCAACTCTCCTACTGGTTGAGATGTCATACATTTTTATTCCCACTTTGTCCAAGCACCATATTAACAACATGAGTGAAAGCTACTTCTTGTTACTCGGTTACTTTTCAGATGGATCAATTTTCTGATCCAACTCATCATGTGGCCACCTAAATGCTCATTCCAGCAGAAATGGGTGATGAAAAAGCATGGAAACAGGCAGGAATACCACCCTTTTGCATCTATCACTTGCATTTAGGTGAGTTTAAAGCAAATACAAAACTCCATTCAAAGCCTAGAGAGGTCCAAAGGTGTCCCAACAGCTCTTTTCAAGCAAGACACATGCTTCTCCAATTCCAGTCTACTGCCTCAACCGTATTCACATTAGTGTCTTAGACCCCCACTGTAAACACACATTATACAGTACACCATCATTTATTATTCAACAATTTAGAATTAAAATGGCATTGTGTAAGACAAGACACACTAAAATCCTGTTCTGAGAAATCAGATTTTTTTAAGAAGACAAGACACAATGGAAGATCCAGAGGAAGGGGAAGTCAGGGGTTTTTTGTTCTTTTATCTATATGCATTCCTACCATTTAAAGAACTGCGTTAGGATCTCACATACTTTTTTCAAGACTTAAGATTTAACTATTTTAAAATAATCTTAATACTTTAAGTTGCTTAAAGGCACACAGATTATTGAATTGTAAGGGAACTACCATAACACAGAATGTACAACAGAAATATTTAAGAATTATGACCTCCTTGAGGAATTGCGCTTAATGAGTTCTACCACAGCCCGGTCATTCTTCCACAAGATTTTGAAGAGGTAGTAAAGTAATAAATAGCAATGCACAATCAAAAATCCGTATTTTAAATCTCTTTCAATATTAGCTCACCCTATCTAGAAAGAGCAGGCAAAATCTCAAGCTACAAATTAACAAAAAGTGTCTCACAGAAAGTTCTTAAAAGGGAAAGGACTTTCAGAAGTTAACTCAAACTCTTTTCTAAAGATGAGCAAAAGGACTACAATAAGAAAACCATATAACATACTTTGACAAGCCTACTCTAAATTGAAAGCAGTAATACTGAGATGAGATAGATGGACTCTCAAAGAAAATAATAGAAACTGATGAGACAATTCCATCTGTTGGAGAGAAGAAATGCAAGAGTGACTGTAATCTGACATTGCCAGAAGTGGTTCTTCATTCCCCCTCTCCTCAATTTCTGGGACAAAAGGCATAGAGTAAATAATTTTCTCAATGACTGAAAAACTGGTCTCCATCAGACAAGGATGTTCAACATGGTACCTTCCTCGGTTCTTGCAGCTTTACACAGCAATAATTCTCACCTCAATCTTTAGTTTTAATGCAATATGCTCAGAATAAAAAACTGGGAAATGGTAGATTACTATAAGATTCATCAGGAATAAAAAGTTATTACAAACAGATTAGCCCAGGGTGGAAATGACACAGGCTAAGCAGGAGGCATGGATAATCTGGGTAAGTGCCATGGAAAAATAAATATCATGACTGGACCTAAGGCAAATGGAAGCAGTTCAAATTGGCTTCCTCCAATTCACTGCAGAACATGTGATGCCCACGTGTCCATTTTCAACAAACCTCACCATAAAGAAACAAAGGCCAATATTGTGAAGTGTTGAAAAACGTGTCTACCACCAGCTTCTTCCATACCACAGCAATGTGAATTATTGCAGCTGCCTGATAAGCACGAAAGAAAAGAGTTTAGGGGGTTTTTGTCTTTTTTATCATTTTTTTGGAAGAGAGCTACCAGCATTTATCTGAAGCACATCATGCTGCCAGTAAGTGTTGAACTTGCAAAGCCAAATAGCAGCAGTAGGTAGAGTATGATCAAGTAAAAACTGCAGCTTAAAGGGTCTTCCACCAGAAACAACTCTTTTACATGACAAATTTGAGATCATGGATTGATTAGCAAACATGGAAGATATTTCAAAAGCATGTTACCAATTTTTACCAAAAAGCAAAATCACAACTACTACACCAAAACAGTGCCAAACTTTATGCTTGCACTATAGATTTTTTTTTTAAGAGGAGTTTAGAAACAAAGAGAAAGAAAAGATCGATATTGCATGTAGAGGAGAGACGAAACAAAGCAGTTCATGGTTTGAACTAAATTTAGGCAGTGGTAGGACATAAATACTTTATCAGAACAGGACAGCATACATGCTGCAGTCAATGGGGGACATGGGAACACAGCTGTTAAAACATACCACTGCAGCTTCAGAGTAGGGGATTGAGTCTTGCTCTAGAACCACGCTGAAGCCCCCTTTAATTAGCTCCACTATAAATTCATAACTGCTCATCCCAGCAGAGCAAAGGCAGATGCAAACACTGACAGCCACATGAAAACCCTGGTTGCTGCACAGCCTACTGCAATCAACATGCTTTTAGCTCTGCTGAATGGGTTAAGTTATCTAGGTTTGAGTGATTTTTGACTTATCAGCGAATCCCTTGCTATTTCTAGTGGCTGTATCACCACATTTTAGGGCAACCTTGAGGATATCTGTATTTTTTCCTCCTTTAAAACTACTTGAAAACACTCTTCCTTTGATGAAAACTCAGAGAAAAAACAGAAGTTTCACTTTTTGTCACTAGCAAAAGCACAAAAGGACTCTGACACCAAATATGTGAGGCATTAGACTTACTGGGCTGGCAAATAGTCTTGACCTTTGAGCCTCAAACCAAGTATGATAACTGCAGGCTTTGTTGAACTCAGATTTGCAGCAGAAACAAGGGAAATAGCATTGATGACACTTACGCAGTCAAATATACTAAAACAGGAATACTTAAACAGAAAAAACCTGCTGTTTTTTCCCCCCACATGAAATTCCATTTTGCACCCCTCCATTTCTCATTCTTTCCCAGCTGAAACTAGTACAATTCTTTGGAGTAGCTAGAGTGTGGTTAAGCAGAGGAAGCTATGCTTGTTTGCATGGAATCTGCTATTTCCTCTCTGCCAAAACACTTGTTTAAAGAAGTCATGTATTATTTCTATTAAGCTGTAAATGCAGTTGACAAGGGAATGGCCTACTGGCAGTGCATTACCTTTGTGGCAGTGCCAACCAGCCTACAGCAAAACAGTGCACATGGTAATTTCAACATGCATTCCCAAGTAACAAAATTGTGCCTTACATAAATAACACAGAACTCCAGCAACAACTAGAAAAGGCAATGAAAATTTGCCCAAGCTTTCCTGCTTGCCTGTATCAATTCTGTGTCATAACTAAAACAAAGTAGGAAAGCATCTACATATGTCCAAAAGTCCTGTGAAGCTGTATCGTATGACACTGGGAAAACTATTGCAACTTAAATCTGTGTATTTCTCGTTAACCACTGTAACAACTCACTAATAAAAATTAAGAAAAACTGTAGGTATCAAATATACAAAAGCATACTAACTGCATACAAGCCCTTAAAAACCATAACGTAATTTATTAACAAGAACACATGTTCTATGTAATCCAGAATTGTTGTGTTAAATTACTTTGGCCTTTGATAGCATTCATTTGATTACAAGAATTAAACAGATTCCCAAGCTTTCAAACTCAGTGACCTTTGATTTATAAGCAGCTATTGTAATGCGTATAAAAATCCTCTCAGATAATGTAGTCCTCACCTTTCAACAGCTAGTGCAACTACATAGAATGATGTTAAAATGAACTCAGAAGTAATTAAGACATTTTCGTTAAAAGCACAACCAACAACCCCAGCACGATCAAATGTACTTAATTTGTAATCAATAGCTCTTCAAAATATTCTTTAATGTTATTTCATCTTTAATTAAATTCCCATCAAAAACAAGCTTCAGCAATACTTATTTTCTTCTCAGCTTTCATCTGAGTATTTTCAGTTTGAACACTAATTTTAAAACAGTGAATTACACAGGGAAAAAAATATGGTGCAGGAAAATTACTAAGATATGTTTCTAATTGCAAAACACTCACTAGCTTTAACTGAGCTGCACATTGCCATAAAACTTCAGGAAACATCTCTGCTCCAAAAAGGACACTCAGATAAAAATCAAGAACCCAGTAGCACTAAATACACTTTAACTCATATATGCATCACCTTACAGTAATGACAGATGAACAGTACCTTCTTTTTTCAACAGTGGTGGCTTCCTTATATTAAGGACCTGATATATGAGGCATCAACAGAGGAAAACTGGATAAAATAATCTAGTATGCATATCATTTTTGCAGCAAATCACAAAGATGAGAAAAATCCACTTCTAGCAATATAAAGTGCCTTGTTAATACCAAATGGGCTTTAGATATAAACAGTTCAAGAATGGATTATTTATTGATGCTCAGTGCAGTCAGTGTAGCTATTCTATAGCTCACTTGAAAAAAACCAAAAGCATGACTAGATAATGAACAAAAAAAACCAAAAGCATGACTAGATAATGAACTTCCCCAAGTAATTCCTTCATAACTGCAACTTCTCAAAGCGACTAATTCTATTTACATTTTGTTTTGCAAAAAGTAAACTAATGCAGTAACAGACTTTAAGAGTCAGTAATAAATAAAAACTGTCAAGTGTTACTAATATTAGTAGTGCTCACAGAGGACAATTCTGAATCCTCCTTTAGGCCATCTTTACTTCAAAACTCCTTTTCAAAGGAGGATGGCCTCTTGGTTATGGAACTCTCCAAGTGCAGCTACAGTATGGAATAAGCTCTATATGTTGCCTTCAAGTCAATTAAGCACTTACTGCTTTAGTTCTCTCTCAAGCGGACATAAAAGCATTCTGAAACCTTACAGATATGTATTAAAATACAGGCAAACTGCAATAAATAGAAAGCAAGACAGCAAGTAAAAATTCTTAGTCTTAAAATCTCTGTCCATAAATGCACAGTTTTATGATTTCAGTATTAGTTTTTTGAGGGTTTTGGGGAGTTGGGTTTTTTTAATACAACAAAGAAGAAAATACCACCACACACACTTACCCTCATGGGATGAATATCAGCATACGGAGGCTTTCCTTCAGCCATTTCTATTGAAGTGATACCAAGGGACCAGATGTCTGCCACGCAGTTATAGCCAATCTCTTGTATTACTTCAGGAGCCATCCAAAACGGAGTTCCTATAACAGTATTACGTTTTGCCATTGTATCCTGTAATTATATTATTTATGCAATTAAAACAGATTTTTTTTTCCAGATTCTTTTGATATTAATTTTATATTTAGAAGTTAAATTACCCACCCAAAGGTTAAATGGTACTGATTTCCAATTAAGACCAAACAGATTCAGCCCATCAGCCTACAGAGGCCAAACAGGTGACAACGATCACAAACCTCAAACAAAAGTTTAAAGTGGGATCATCAGGCAGTTGAAATACACTGGGTTATAAAAATGAACAACTAAAAACGAAATAACCTTACAATATATTAAATACCATGATAAAGAATGTTAGCTCTACCACTAGTCACTTCTCAGACACAAAATTCAAGGCAGAAGAAAAAGATAAAAGTAAAAAAACATGGTTAGGAGCACTAAAGCATTTTTAAATGATCTTTCCACGGGTACTTACCGTTAACTGGCCAGCCACACCAAAATCAGCTAATTTTGCATGTCCCTCGGTGTTAAGAAGGATGTTTCCAGCCTTTATATCTCTATGTATTTTTCTCATAAAGTGCAAGTATTCAAGTCCTTTAAGAGTCGATTTCAGAATAGTTGCAATTTCATCTTCCGTTAGCTGCAAGAAATCATAAAAGCATTTTCAGGTATACACATAGAGTATTTGAACTATTTAAAACATGATCATTTCATAATAATAATTTCATAAATAATACAGACAAGGTACTTTAGTTGTTTTAACACAGGAATATGTTGAACAGCACTTGCAATTCAATTACTAGATTTTTACACATCTAGAGTCCAATTAGAGCGAGCTGCAAAACTGATGCAAATCAGATGGCAGAATATGCAATATTCTCTTGCCTGTCAATCAAAAATTACTACTCTTTAGATGTTGACATCCTTCATAAAGGCTGCTGCACAGTTTCTACAAGTAATACATTTATCACTAAGATCCTACATAATAATTGTCACATTATGCATTAACTTTGTCAAAACAAAGGTAATGGTGGTTACCACTGGACTGGATGGCACATACCAGAATACTTCACTGGAAAAAGAGATAGCCCTTTCTCTGCTGTGAAAGGCTAGAGCTATTCCTCATCCATACCCTTAAGTTCTTTACACACTTTGCACAACAAACTAGCACAGTCCTACATTTGGAAAGAGATTGAAGGAATGCCATGTTTTCTTTATTTCTCAAATTCCTACACAGAAAATGCCAGCTAAGTCTACAATTAGTAGTATCAAGCTTTTGTCCACCAGCTACTCCTAACTGCACTACTATTAGTTTCTCATTGCTGGCAATTTACAAATTAGCAAGGATAAATTAAGAGCTTCTTTGCAAGAACAAAAAAAAAAAAAAAAAGAAACAAAAAGCAAGCAATAAAGATGTACAGAAAATAGCCAAAATATTTGTCAGGGATGGCTTGCTACTCAGTGTCTGTAAGGAGATAATACAGCATGCATAAATACAAATGCCCCAACAGTTCCCAACTAGTTTACAGAATGTTACTGAAGTCTGTCAAGTAAGCCATTCCTTTTAAGGCCAGTGCTTTCATTTTATATAGAATGTAAGTAAATGCTGATTTTTGAAAATAAGTATTTCTCACTCTGCCTGTGCTCCATACTGACACAAAGCTGTAGAACTACACCCATACAGATGTGCCCCAAGGACCTTCCCAAAACCCTGCTCAGCCCTGAAAAAGGACAACTAAGACATCAGGGTACCCTTACGCTGGAAGGTGCCAATAAGTGTTATCACCTGTTCCTTTAAGCTGTAGACAGTTACAGAAAGGACTAAGAATGGATGCCAACCAGATGCTATGGGTTTGTTTTTTTTTTTTTACACCATTCTTTTCTTGTTGCCCACTGATGCAGAGAATGACTACTCACTGAACTTCTGGATTCTTTTTAAATTACCTGCATCACTCAAAAATTGCTAGATGTTATCCTCATAGGAAAATATGATCAGATTGAATATATGGCTCTCAAATTTCAGCCAGAAATACTGTAATTTCTTTTATATCTACCAACAACATTTATTAGTTTGCTGTCTATGCAAAGGTTTCCTGTTAATTCTTAAGTGTAGATAATCCACGTGAGCTATGCTATAATATATCATGTTACTATCACGCTATAAAGTTGTACGATCAAACTAACAGAAACCTTTACACAGCTGGCCCTGAATATATTTTATGAGACATGCCACATTTTAGTAAGCACAACTACCACTATGTGAAGATAATGCAACATGTCAGCCCACGACTTTCAAAGTAGTTGCAGCCTGTTAATATCTTCTGGTCTCTAAAAAACATTTCTTTACATAACATCTACCAGTGCATAATACTATCTTCTATGGCCACACTGAATTTTTAACTCGTTTCTTTATGTTCTTTAATAACAGCATGGCCTTCAGTTACTTCTGAGAACTAAGGCAGAATAGCTGAGGCTCTGTAGAACTTCAGAGTTCCTGAAGTCTGCGATACATTTTGCAGTTATACCCAGCTCTCTTTCACATCATGTTTGCTGTTTATTTTTCAGTCAGGATGAATGGAAAGGTACTCTCAAATTAGTCAAGTAACTGAATATAAACTGAGAAATAAAATTGAAAATTTGAAGAGTTAAGAAAAAAAAATTGCAACAGGAATATTTATTGAATTCTGAAAAACATCAAAAAGGAAACACGAAGAACTCTTTTACTTGACTTTTTTTTTAAAGTAGGCCAGAAAAACTTCATTTTAAAGCTTAAAAAAATATTATTAAACACCTACGATAAATAAAGAAGTGGTGTAGACTGGGCAGTTCAAAACACTTCTCTTATCTACTACTTTAATATGTTGCAGAATTCATATACTATCACAAATGATATAATAAGCTGCAAGTATTGACTGGCAACAAGCTGACAGACATTTCATTCCCAAAGAAAATACAATACAGTAAAAAAAATAAATTTGAGATATATTTTCATTTATCTGCTTCATAAACTACATGGCCTATTGAGTAAGTTATCAGCTAGCACAGTTATTTATCTTCATTGCTTTAGATCAGCATAATAGGAACACATAAGCTCCTGAACAAGTGTTACCAGTGTAATAGCAAGAGTGAATCTCTTGCAGGTACCACAGCCCCTGAGAACACTTCTCGGATTTTGATCAACATTTATTCTAGAATAAAAGCACAAAACACAAGCACAATTCATCCCATGTGATGCAATTTCTCATGGAGATACAAAGAAACTATTCATGCCACTGAAATTCTGTTCAATTACAGTACATCAAGGCTGTAATATAAGAACTAAGCAAATGAACTTGACACATTCTTAGAAATGCAAGAAACTGCAAAACTGAAGAGGAATACTCTAATTTGGCTGCAACACTGACTTATTTTTCTGCTCTTTCTCTATTTTTCCATCCCATACAGAAATTAAATTAAGCAATAACAATTTCTTCCAGTTTCAGTTTTGAAAGTGTTGGTACACATCTGCACCTCCCTCCAAAAAAAGCTACCACCAAAAGCCCACAAGAAACAAAAAACCCACTCATAATCACTCTAAGCCAACAGAATGACTCAACAGAAAGGAAAAAATGATTAGTCAGCAAGATTATCTGCACTTGAGTTGCTCAGAACAAGCTTTAATTATTTAACAAACAGAACCACTTCCCTATTCCAGCTTCTATCCAGTCTCATAAAACCTGGGCGTGGAGCCCAAGGGCACAGTTACACATACATTTATTTAAACAGCAGTGCCAAGCTCCAGTTCCTCCTTTCACTGCAACCTACAGCAGTAATCCCCACTGTGTGTCAGCCCTTCCACTGTAACTGACCCTAGTTAAAAATAAACCTGTCTGCCAAATTATTTTTCCAACAAATCAGTTCCCTGATTCAATTCACGGCATAGTCAACAAGGACATAGCAGAGTAGGAGCTGCTCAAATTGGCATTGCCTTCCAAATAACTACATGTGTTACTCTACCCAAAGAGCCCCAGTGACTTTTACAAACCTTCCCCTATGCAAGCAGAGGATGAAATCAATGGTGGCATTAGCTCCATGCTCCACAGCAAGCAGTTACCGCCTCTGCTGCGTATTATGCATTCCTTGCCTGCCATTTATCTCCGAGATCTTTCAGTGTTTCTGTTCAGTGGCACACTGCTCAAAGCCTCTATTTGTGCTGACTGCTATGCTGCTTCAAAGGATCATGGCCAAGAGAACTGAAAACCCTCTTATACACAGCTCAAACAAGACGTCTTTCCTGGCATTGCACCAAGGGAGTGAAACCATCTACCTGATCTGGAGTCAAGCAAGAAGGGACTTTAAATCAACTGTAAGATTAAACTAAAGTACAGTCAGAAGTATATCTGGAGAAAGAGACAACCCTCATTATGTGAGCTAAAAATTTTCTGGTGAAGTACACTAAACCTGTGATTTTCTGAAGACACACATTACAGGCCATTTAAGCGCTGGCTATTAACAAATACTATATCATGAATGGTTTATGACATGCTGAGTGTAACACCTTCTGCCAGAGCTTTGCTAAATCCATCCACTTCACAAACAATACAATGTCCTGAATCTCCAAAGACTTCCATACAGTTAATCCTGAACATGCATCAAAAAATGATCCCAAGCACTGGCAAATTTATAGCAAGATAGGCATACAACTTACTGCCTGCTTTCATCTAGAAACAAGTATTACGAGAAATTGTGCTCAGAAGGCTCTGCAGAGAAGATCTCTCTTCAATGTGTTGCATTCCTAAGGAGATAAATCCTTACCTTCAGTTCTTGAAAAATTAGTGGTTAAACTACATGGAGATCTTTGGATCAACTCTAGATGGAGAAGTGTTTTTGCAGCTGCATGGCAAGACCCAGCTCTGAAAAGGAGACATTAACAGAACACCCATACCAAAAGGTTGACAAAGCAGCTAAGACTAAGAATTCACCAAGCCAGAAGAGAGTGAGTTCTAGAGTACTGCAGCCTGAGGTCCATCAGTAAAGGAAAGCTCTACATTGTTATGTGTTACAAAAGTAAAAAGTATTTAAGTAACATCAAAATGCATACAGTGGTCAGAAAAGTCCACAGAAGTGAACATCACCTAAAAGAAGTAAGCAGTGAGCATGAGTTGTGTTTATCAGGAACAGCAGTAACAGAGAAGTACAGGGAAAAAGAAGGGAGAACAGGCTTACTCTGCCATCAGCGTGCTGAGACACATCAATCCCAACTCCAGATGTCCTAGATGCATCCACTTGTGCTTCATATATATGCATATGTACAATCATCATCTATGTAACATGATGCAGTCACTAAAATCATTTCTGCTTATATTATTGCTAAACATGATCAAGTATATGCATAATACACAGACAAAATGTTTAGTTTTAATATCTTATAATATTTAGAAGTACACAACAAATTTGCAGCCAATAAAGTACACTCGCCTT